TGCGCCATCTTGTGAGACAAATGAAAAGAAATTAAAGATTAGCGAATCAACAATGATTGGAACCAAATTTGTCTTGGAAAGAGCTTTAGATCTCGATGTTGGCGTTAATGACATAAAAAGCTATAGTTTAAAGCCAACAGATAATTTTGTATTGAAACTGCACAATAATGCTGATGGAAATAATAAGATTGAGATGGTGTTACAGAAGCCTTTAGACAGGGAAAAAGAGCCAAAGATCAATCTGGTGTTAACTGCTACAGATGGAGGAGAACCACAGATGTCAGGAACGATGCTGATTGTTATTACAGTTTTGGATGCTAATGATAATGCCCCAGTTTTTACGCAACAGACATACAGAGCTACTGTTATTGAAAATTCACCTAAAGGAACGGTTGTGGCTTCTATCAAAGCGTCAGATGCAGATGAAGGTTTTAACAGTAAAATTACATATAAAATTACAAACACTTTCGATGAGGTCAGAAATATATTTGAAGTAAACGAAGGTAATGGTGAAGTTATTTTAATTGGAAATACAGATTTTGAAGTCTCAAGAAGTTATGAAATCAATCTACTTGCAAGTGATGAAGGTGGACTTAGGGATTCCTGCAAACTACTTGTCGATGTACAGGACAGAAATGATAACATTCCAGAAATAAAAATAATGTCGAAGTCCAATGTTATTACAGAGGACGTTAAAATAAATACAGTCGTGACAGTGATAAGCATTGAGGATAAAGACTCTGGGACAAATGGAATTGTAAAATGCTTTTTGAATGATGATATCCCGTTTATTTTGAAATCATCAGAAAATGATTTCTATAGATTAATAACGGACAGCGAGTTGGACAGAGAGAAATACTCTGTGTATAATATCACTGTGACCTGTGCTGATGAAGGAGTCCCCTCCCTCTCAAGCAGCGTTACTCTCTCCTTAAAGATTTCTGATGTTAATGATAACCCTCCTGTTTTTGAAATGAGCTCATATGAGACCTACGTTGTAGAAAATAACACACCAGGTGTCTCGATTTTCACAATAAAAGCCACGGATGCTGACTGGAACCAGAATGCCCGTATTTCTTACATACTGGAGGACTCCTCTGTTAATGGAGTTCCAGTCTCCTCATATGTGTCAGTTAATGCTGAAAGTGGAGTCATCAATGCAGTTCACTCCTTTGACTACGAGCAGATTAAATATGTCCAATTCTGCGTCAAAGCTCAGGACGGGGGCTCTCCTCCACTCAGTAGCAATGTGACTGTAAAAATAGTGATACAGGACCAGAACGATAACCCCCCTCAGGTTCTCTATCCAGTCCATACTGGTGGCTCTGTAGTCGCTGAAATGGTGCCTCGTTCAGCAGATGTGGG